AGAAGTTTGTTGGTCCACGATTTATTACATGTATTGATAAGGCAGAACATTAAGAGAGTGCACATAAATGTAGGACATATTTACTTACCAAGTTATTATCTTGGTAATACATGCTTTTAACGCCTTCCTAGCTGGCAGATATATTAAATATTGGCCAGTATTAGATACCTTACATAAGTGATAAGTTTATACTATGTTTTAGCAGACGAGGGTGAAATTATTATAGATGCATGGGATGAACAAATGTTCAGTCACCGAGTCCATTATTATCTTCTTTATCAGCTCTGTTCTAGCTTAATTAATATGGATCTGAACACTTCCAGAAACCTATGATATTCACTCATTTATGGTCCCAATTATTGCCGATACACTCTACGTCAGCGACGATTACACACGATTAAATTCGGTAACACTCCCCATTTTAAGTATACATTCCGCCATTCTACGTTGCACTCGCCGGTGTGTTGGTTCTTCTGTCATTTGAAATTTTTCTAAAACTCGCGCCAACACTACATTTTATAAACACTATTATAATTTTCAATTTTTACACACTAATTTCAGGAAAATTACAATAAAAAAAATCCACATTTGCATTGTCAGCACCTAAATACGCGGAGACTTGGGATATCCAGTCATCAGAATCGACAGTCATCCAGTTCGACATCCAGGTTGGGTGCAGTGGTCCACCTGCAGCCAGCAGTGTGCACCTGCAGTACTCCACCGACCATGGCAAGACGTGGAGACTGGTGCGAGAGCTGTGTGCTCCTCCAGAGGTGGAATGTGATACCTTCCACCTGCCTACCACATACAGTGCCGCCGTCACTCCAGGCTGGACCCGCGTCACCACCACCCTGCCTAAGATCACTGTGTAAGTTCATCTTTCCACAGTATGGAGACTACACTACATTTGCATGATCATAATACAGAGTGGCTCAGCGCGTGCTTCGATTATCAAAATATTTTTTTTTGTCATATCTATCTTTTATCATTCCATATTTTTTTTTTTTATTTCTAGCACCATTTAGTACTGCTAGTAGAGTCTAGTTTATTGTGCTTCCCAGACTCCAACTGTCACAACGACAAAATAAAAAATACTGGATTCCGAGTGTCAGTGTGTTCGTCAGATTCCGCTGGTCATAGTTACATTCTCAAAGATATTTACACCCATTATATTTATTACAGTTTCTTCACATTGCTGATCTACACAATGATATATACGGACACAGTCTCAATTAGACTAAAATCTACATTATTTAGCTTATAAGTACTATAGCTATTTTTTTCCTAGGATTAAAACCTTACACCTGTCTGCATTGAACTACATCTGCCACTTCTACGACCACATCAATTTATCCAGGTCATCCCGTAGCTCTCTAATGTCCATATAAGAAATTATTTGACGGCCTATTTTAGTGTCATCGGCAAAATTAATTATGTCGCTATTTATTTCCTTGTCGATGTCGTTTATGTATCTTGTGAAGAACAGGGATCCAACAATGACCCTTGTGGCACACCACTTGTAATGGGTCGCCATTTTTATTTTTGCCCTTTTAACGCAAATTCTGTTGCTATCAGTCAGCCATGCCTCAGCCAAGAAGATAATTCCTTCTATTCCATGTGCCGCTACTTTCTTAATCAGTCTGCTGTTTGTGGAACTTTATCAGAGACCTTGCTGAAGTCCATATACGTAATATCGTATTCTTTATCTTGGTCTTCCACCTCGGAAACCTTAGTGAGAAAGGTTAGTGAATTCATAAGGCAAGAACGTTCCTTTGTAAAACCGTGCTGTGATGGGTTGATCAAATTACATTTTTCGAGGTACTTTCGAATTTCATAGCAATTATTGATTCTATTGTGTTTAGGATGACTGATCTATATTCTGGGCCTATTTCTCACTTTGCAAACTGTTGTCACATTTTACATTTTCCTCTTATCCGGTGCAATACCTGTTTGTAGTGATATGTTGAAGAGACTAGCTAATGGTTTGTTACGATGATTATTACATTCCTACATCAAGGCCCAGTGACTTGTTTAATGTTAATTTATCTGGTTGTTTGAGCACCACGTCACTAGTGACTTTGATGCTGCATAATTTATTTCGTCCTAACCACTATAATTATTAATTTCTGAGATTTCTTTGTATCCTCTGGTGTAAAGGCAGAGATAAAATAAGTGTTGAAAATAGTATACAGTTCTTTATCACCAACAGCATATTACACTTAAGTGGACCTATCTGAGTTACACTTAAATGGACCTATCTTTTTCCTCACTTTATTCCTATTTTGCTGAAAGAATCTCTTTGGATTTGTTTCTGATTCACTCACAACCTTAATTTCGTTTTCTCTTTTGGGTTTCTTTATTCTTTTTTTTACTTCTCTCTTAAATTTAATTAGCTTCTTTAACAGGGTGATGATTCATCTTTTTAATTCACCTGTAAATGTCCCTCTTTTCACCCAAGAGATGTTTTAATCTATTCTTTATCCGTTTAAGGTCATTCCCGTTTTAACTAAATTATCTGTTAGGAATATTTGCAGCTTGGCCAGCTTGTTCAGTGCTTTGGAAAACTGTCATAACGTCAGCCATCAACACCGTCTATCAGACCTTCCTCTTGATAGTTCCTAGCCAGGTTACCCCAGTCTACACTTCTCAAATAATCCTTTCGACCCATATAATCTGCATTGCAGGGAGAGGGAGTCATTTACAATTACACTGTCTGTGGCTGAGAGCAATAAATACTGAAAACAGTTGATTATATAAGATGGAAGTCCAGGTTTTAATTTTAATACATCTTTGTATTATAGAGTAGAACCATAAGGCTGGTTTACGTTAACGATCCTTTCTACTCTCCCACGAGAGACTTTAGTGTAGATGGTCGGTGGGAATATTTTTAGTCCGCAGGTCGGGTAAGTGTTCCAAAGTACTTAGGTCATACAACGCCAGTGGAATAGGAAACAGTCAGATTCAATCCAACGAAAAGGAGAGTAGTTCCAGTTCTTTGGATCAAGAGCCTCTGATATCATAGTACCTCCCTAGAAGGAATTGAATTTAGAAATTTGTCGAAGATAAGCAGCAGTGTAGGTAGTCATGGTGACGCCAAGAACTGTTATTAGCCAGGGTTGTGGGAGATGATCCAGCATCACACACATGGGAGATGATCCAGCATCACACACATGGAAGATGATCCAGCATCACACACATGGGAGATGATCCAGCATCACACACATGGGAGATGATCCAGCATCACACACATGGGAAGATGATCCAGCATCACACACATGGGAGATGATCCAGCATCACACACATGGAAGATGATCCAGCATCACACACATGGGAGATGATCCAGCATCACACACATGGGAGATGATCCAGCATCACACACATGGGAGATGATCCAGCATCACACACATGGAAGATGATCCAGCATCACACACATGGGAGATGATCCAGCATCACACACATGGGAGATGATCCAGCATCACACACTTTATGTTATACAAACAGTTTCCACAAGTAACTGTTATTTTAATCAATTTTTAACTTGTTCTCGTTACTTACATGTTGTTCACATTCTATAGAAGTAACATTATTTTCATTTGGGTACAACCTGGTACAATATTAACCCATAACCGTGGTACAACCTGGTCCAATATTAACCCATGACCGTGGTACAACCTGGTCCAATATTAACCCATAACCGTGGTACAACCTGGTCATATCAAACATAACCGTGGTACAACAGGCCAATATCAAACCCTAACCCTGGGACAAACTGTCCAATACACCCATAACCGTGGTACAACCTGGTCCAATATTAACCCATGACCGGGTACAACCTGGTCCAATATCAAACCATTTAACCGTTGGTACAACAAGGGCCAATATTAACCCATTTTAACCGTGGTACAACATGGTCCAATAAAAACATTACCGTGGTACAACCTGGTCCAATATTAACCCATAACCGTGGTACAACCTGGTCCAATATCAACCCATAACCGTGGTACAACCTGGTCCAATATTAACCCATAACCGTGGTACAACCTGGTCCAATATTAACCCATAACCGTGGTACAACCTGGTCCAATATTAACCCATAACCGTGGTACAACCTGGTCCAATACAACCCCTAACCGGGTACAACCGGTCCCTTTTAACCATAAAGTGGTACAACCCGTCCAAAAAACCCCAAAACCCTGTAAACCTGGTCCAATTTAACCCCTACCCTGGTACAACCCGGTCCAATATTAACCCATAACCGTGGTACAACCTGGTCCAATATTAACCCATAACCGTGGTACAACCTGGTCCAATATTAACCCATAACCGTGGTACAACCTGTTCCAATATCAACCCATAACCGGGTACAACTGGTCCAATATCAACCCATAACCGTGGTACAACCTGGTCCAATATCAACCCATAACCGTGGTACAACCTGGTCCAATATCAACCCATAACCGTGGTACAACCTGGTCCAATATCAACCCATAACCGTGGTACAACCTGGTCCAATATCAACCCATAACCGTGGTACAACCTGGTCCAATATCAACCCATAACCGTGGTACAACCTGGTCCAATATCAACCCATAACCGTGGTACAACCTGGTCCAATATCAACCCATAACCGTGGTACAACCTGGTCCAATATCAACCCATAACCGTGGTACAACCTGGTTCAATATCAACCCATAACCGTGGTACAACCTGGTTCAATATCAACCCATAACTGTGGTACAACCTGGTTCAATATCAACCCATAACCGTGGTACAACCTGGTTCAATATCAACCCATAACTGTGGTACAACCTGGTTCAATATCAACCCATAACCGTGGTACAACCTGGTCCAATATTAACCCATAACCGTGGTACAACGTGGTCCATTATCAAACCATAACCGTGGTACAACCTGGTCCAATATTAACCCATAACCGTGGTACAAAAAGTGGTCCATTATCAACCCATAACCGTGGTACAACCTGGTTCAAAACCCATAAC